GGCTCGCGCTCCTCCCCCGCCTGCGGGTAGGGGTAGAAGGAATCGCGGGTCAAAGGGAGGTAGGCAAGACCTAAGGGATGTGATCCAGACAAGGCGTCAGCGCTTTCGTCCAGATCAGAGTGATACGTGAGTATCTACTCATTTCCTTCGGGGGTGTCACATCTGCCCTTTTTCTTCCCCTTCCTAATTCCCCTATAACCACCAGCTCTCCACCTGACCGAGGTTAGGTAGGAATTTTCCTGCATTTCCGTCTCCTATGCTGGACCTATATGTTTGGTTGGTTCTATGGCTTCATAGTGACCACCTTGCTGATGGTGACGTACCTTGCTCTTGAACAGGGCTCCAGCGCGTGAACCATGGTGGGTGAGTATGATCCATTCTATATATGTATGTGTGTATTTAATGTGCTGGTGGTTATGTGTGTATAATCCTTCTGTGAGATTTCTTTGCAGCGTTTTCCGGGACCTGTGTGTTTCTGTCCTTTCTAAGGTAGGTCCTCTGTGAGCACCCCTTTGCTGGATTCAGAACCAGGTGCTCGACTTGCAGTGTTACCTCACTCGTCGATATTGTGTCCAGCCGGTATGATAGCCCTGGTTCCGGCTTCATGCTTCCTGGACCATGCGGCCAGGTCAGAGGCTTCTGCGGGAGACTTCTTGATCATCAGGCACCCGGCACGACACTGCACAAAATTCCTGGATGTCCGGGCTCCAGGATATCTCCTCTTGCTGAGGCATCGAGCGGGAAGTATAGGTGGCATTTGCGAGAACCTTCTTGTGTTGCCTGGTTCATGTTGTTCCAAGATTAACAAGGATGTTGATCCAGGAACATGTTGAACTTGGTGAAATCACGTTCACTGAACATAAACAGGAGGCAGAGAAAAATACTCATTTTAGAAGAAAATTTCAGACGGCGCTTAGAGGCTTTTGCATCTGAACTCTTCAGTTTGCTCCACTGTTATCCCCAGTCACATAAGCACTACACTGCACTAAAACTAGTAACAGTTCACTGCACAAAAAACAGTAACAGTAATCATTTTCCCACCCCAGACTGCTCTGTTGCAGTTTGCTGTATTACACTCCCTCCCACTGTTTCAATTTTGTTGTTCATACTGTCACTGTCCTCACAATTAATGAATAATTAATTAACTTTGTGTGTGACCATTGTCACTGAACAAGTAAAATCAGACATATATTTATTTTATACCCAGACAATGGACAAATGTCTGCTCAGGATGTCTGAAATTTCTTTGCACAGTCCCTAGGTGTCACTAGTGAGCAATGCTGAATGAAGCTTTCAGGGTAATGAACATTTTAGTTCTAGTTCTTTTATTTATTAAGCACATTAAAAACAGTCACAAGACTGACGAAAGTACTGTACAGCAAAATGATCAAAGATAAGAACGCATTTAAACCACATAAATTTGCAAAAGCTGAAGAAAACAAGTGAGTTTTCAAAATAAATTTAAAAACCAATAAGATGAATCAGCTCTGAGGTGTGCTGGCAGGCTGTTCCACAATCTAGGGCCCATCAACGAAAAAGCTCTATCTCCTCTGCATTTCAGACGTGTGGAAGGAACCATAAGTAGGTTTTGATTACCAGATCTTAAATGTCTGGTAGGTTTGTAAGGATGCAGCAACTCTGATAAGTAACACAGGGCAAGGTTGTGTAAACATTTATAAACAAACAGGAGGATTTTAAAATGTATCCTAAAATGAACAGGGAGCCAATGAAGAGCTTGCAAAAAGGGGGTGGCAGGATGATTTTTGTGGCCTTTAAGAAATTTGGCTGCTGCGTTTTGGACCAGTTACTATACTGGTTATAAACGAGCTACTTGGGACTTTGAGATGCCACAATACAAAGAGTTGCAATAGTCCAATCGAGAGGAAATAAACGTGTGAACAGCTGTCTCAAGAGGTTTTTCAGGTAGAAAATGTTTGATTTTAGAAAGTAAGCGGAGCTGAAAAAAGCTAGAAGCAACAACCGAGGAGACATGTTTCTCTAGATTGAGCTGACTGTATAAGAGAACGCCAAGGTTCCTAACACACTTTGATTCAAAAACTGACAGGCTATCCAAGGTCGAGTTGTTCAATTTGAAATTGTCTGATGGGCCAAAGACAATAACCTCAGTCTATGAGCCATTTAAGGTTGAGCCATTAAGGTTTAATATTACACAAAGAACCCACGTAAATACAAAATGCAGTTTTGAAATGATGATTTCATTTATTAAGGGAAAAAAGCTGTCCAAACCTGCCTGGCACTACATGAAAAAGTAATTGCCCCCTAAATCTAATAACTAGTTGTGCTACCCTTTGCAGCAACAACTGCAATCAAGCATTTGTAATAACTGACAATGAGTCTTTCACATCGCTGTGGAGGAATTTTGGCACACTCTTCTTTGCAGAATTGTTTCAATTCAGCCACATTGGAGGGTTTACATTTTCGAGCATGAATGGACTGTTTAAGATCATGCCACAGCATCTCAATCGGATTTAAGTCTGGACTTTGACTTACCACTCCAAAACCTTAATTTAGTTTTTCTTGAGCCATTCAAAGGTGGACTTGCTGGTGTGTTTGGGATCATTGTCCTGCTGCATAACCCAAAAGTGCATGAGGTCACACACTGATGGTTGGACATTCTCCTTCAGGATTTTCTGATAGAGAGCAGAATTCATGGTTCCATCAATTATGGCAAGTCATCCAGGTCCTGAAGCTGCAAAGCAGCCCCAGACCATCACACCACCACCACCATGTTTGACTGTTGGTATGATGTTCTTTTTATGAAATGCTGTGTTGGTTTTACGCCAGATGTAACGGGACACACATCTTCTAAAAAGTTCAACTTTTGTCTCATCAGTCCACAGAATATTTACCCAAAAGTCTTTGGGATATTCAAGATATATTTTGGAAAATGTGAGACGAGCCTTTGTTCTTTTTGGCCAGCAGTGAAAATAATGTGGTTAATCACAGTTCTTTCATGATTTAACAGGAGGGGGCAATTATTTTTTCACGTAGGGCCAGGTAGGGTTGGACAGCTTTTTTCGCTTAAATGAAATAATCATTTAAAAACTGCATTTTGTATTAACGTGGGTTATCTTTGTGTGATATTAAAATGTGTTTGATGATGTGAATCTTTTAAGTGTGACATATGCAAAAAAAAAACTGTAATATTAATAAAAATAAAAAAAAAACAGGAAGGGGGGCAAAAACCCCTAATGAAAAAAAAAATGTTCAGCCAGTTTGACTAAAATTATCTTAAAATGGCTTTAATTACTCCTTGTTGCAGTTGGTCTGATGCTCGCTGTCATGCTTATCTCCTCATTCTGCCTCTGTTGTGGCCACTAAATAGCTGCTTGCAGCTATAGTTCAGTTACTTGTCATTTCTTTGTAATAGTTTGTGAAAATTACTAGCAATTTCTGAGTTAAAAAGTTTATACAAAATAAATAAAAAGGTTCAAATAAAGTGACATGACAATAAGGACTTGTCAGAGTTTATTATTAAGTAGATGTTATACATTTGTCATTCACTGTCAGACTTAGGAATAGCTATAATGAATTCCATAATCATATCAGTGCATCTATGAAAATTACACTGAAAAAAAATGTCCACTAAGCATAAAAACTACTAAGCATAAGAGCACAGAGGGAGAGTAACATAGCTCAGGATACTGTTAATAGGTGCCGGCTGAATGTGCATTAAGGCATGAAATGTCTGCTGCAAGACTTTTTTTGTATTCATAGTTTAGTAAGGATCTATTTATACAAGACTCTTTTTAATGAATGAAACATGTAAAGATAAAGAAGTATCTTGTATACTGTCTGATAAACAAATATGATCTGTTTTCAAATTTAACAGCCATCTTTTCAAACATGTGAACGTACAATATAGCTAAAATATTCTGTTGCATGAATTAATTTCTCATTTTGCTCTGATACATAATTTCCCCCCATAAGCAGAGTAGACTGTCACCCACATTTAGGTTATATTTAACCATTTTCATAAAATAAAGCAAAAGCAAATAAAATGAATTCTTAGTTCTTTAGAGTCTCATGTATGGAGCCATTCTTTGTCTCCAGTGGCTAATATCAAAACTGTTAGTCAGGTTCTGGAAAAAGGCAATTACAGCATAAAAAAAGTCCCTAAGTATTTTCCAGAATTTTTCCCATGTGGTCTTTTGTGCCCATTCATACATCGCATTGGTGTAGTAGCCCTGATTCCTCTCTGTCATTGTGTCAATCTTCTGCAGTAGATCAGTGACCTGCTGTCTGTCAGTCAGATCTTTGTTATTGAGGACATGATAACCCTGACAACTCTGAACAACTTTTCTGACAACTTCATTCCCATCAATCTCGGTCTGTATTCTCTCTCTGATACATTCATCCCCGTATGTGAAGAGGAGAATAACATGCTTCAGCACATCTTTACCAAAAACCTCTTTCACTTTTTTCAATATGTCTTCCTCCTGCTTTGTGAACCTGTCAAACGGCACAACGAATAAAAAGGCATGAACTCCTGGAGCAGAAAGAAACACACTTCTCGCAAACTCCCTCGACAGCTCCTCATGGGAAAGATTAGTACAAAAAAACCCAGGAGTGTCAATAACAGACACAGATCTGCCATCAATCACTGATCTCTCAACACTAGATATACTTGTAACAGCAGACAGACTTCTTCCACACGTGAATCTGTTCTCTCCCAGGATGGTGTTTCCTGATGAACTTTTCCCAACTCCAGTTTTCCCCAGAAGGACAATATTAATGTTATCATTGTTCTGCTGAGGTGCTGCTACAGGAGTTTGAACAGGAAGAGAAAGGAAAAACTCAGGAAGAGAGAAAATGTTTAGAACATCAATTATCTGTAGCCTATTAACATAGCTTACTATGTGTGATCATGTCATGTGCGTTTCTGTGGTTAATATAAGATTTACCTGCATTGTTAAATCTGCGACGCAGATTCTCAGCCTGTATGAGATTATCAGACACATTCACAATAAAGTTTTATAAGCATTTGTCTAGCACAATAAATAAATAAATAAATAAATAAAATGGTATGCATTTTTTTAGATGATGAAATGTCTGAATGAATGTTTTATACCATTGTCTTCTGTCGTTCTGTTCTTAGCGGAGCTACACAACCTGCAAAATCAGCAAATCATTATAATTTTGCACAATTATCCAGTGAACAGAAATATATGAAATATGTAAAACAGAATTTCAAGCCCCTTGAGTTCCTCTTTCACTTAATTCTATTCTGTTTAAAAATGAAACAAACACACACAAAATAAATGAAACACTAATCAGCACAGTTTATCCGTGAGCTGTTGACCCCCACTGACTTCCTGTGTTTGTGCTGTTGATCTCCAGACTAGGAAATTCCAAACTGATTTTATCATGGTGTGATTTTATCTGGATAGTCTTTTACATTGCACAGACCTGACACCATTATTCCACACTGTCAGATCTACTGAAATGTTTGCATATCAACGGGCATGAAGTCGTAAAGCTGGCAAATAGAGATTACTTTGGTGAAAATTAAGTCATGTTTATCAGCTAAACACAGTAAATCACACTAAACTCCTGATTTGCAGAGTTTGAACTGAACTGCAGTTAGTTTCTTCTCTGGAATCTATTACATTGGGTTAAACTTCAGCATTAACACATGTATCAGACTCACTGTGAATGTGTTTTCATTTCTAAAACACAATGACTAAAGAGATAACGATGTTAAACAATCATGTTAAATCTGCTATTAGAACATAGAAACATTATAATTGAGATTAAGGATGTAAAATACTCACTGTGATGCTGGTCTTCAGACAGATGCACTGTTTCTAGGGTAGTTTCAGTTTCAGACAGTCACAGATTTATATACTCTTCATCAGCTCCAGCCAGAGAAGGAAAGAGCTCAGAATGGAAATGTCCAGAATCCAAAGAGATAGTGAAAATGTCACAGAAGGTGTTGTATTCCTGTGAAATAACAGAGAACTCTATTTTGTCATGATTTCAAAATAATGAATTGCTATTGTAACCTATATGCAAAATATGAATGGTTTTGTGGCATATTTGTATGAACTCATCATTAATTTTGCCCTTAAGTCACCTTGGTCTGTGAAACCTGATATCAGAAAATCTGCCTGGTAACTAGAATGTGTTAGCAGATGGAAATTTGCTATTGGTGGAAAAAACAAGAAGCTCCGCCCTTTTTCTGGGGCGATGCGAGCGAGTATTGGCAGAGAGTGATGAAATGATCTGTCGTGCAGATGCAGGGAAGTTTGAATTGATTACTCTATAAATGCATTGTATTTACATAAATTGCAAACTGATAATCACTCTAAAAAGATGATTGAGGTCGTCATGAACACATGAACCATTGGATTTGAAGCTGTATTTTCTCAGGTGTGAACTTGAATCTCAGTGAGTGTTAACAAGCTTAAAGAGTTTAAACCAGGGCTGTCCAAACCAAAGAGTATAGAAGACGAAGAGAAACTCTGATGCTTTTTGGGTAACAGCCTAGGCGGCGCTTCGGTAGCACGGCCGCCATTTTGGGGTGAAAGTTCCAACTGGACAACAGCACAGATATACAGAAATAGACAGAATAACAACGAAAGAGAGGTCAAAGTGGAATAAAAGAACGCAATGTTGGGCAATCCACTGCAAAAACTATCAGTGTGACAGTAAAAATCTTGCCTTTCATCGTTTTCCCAAAGACCCTGACAGTTTTGTGAAGTATTCACAAAAGTGTAAAATATTGTGTTTTGAAGTGGGGACGTAGTGCTATCTTATGAACCTGCTAACTTGAACTGTTTTTATTCTAGTAGTACACTTAAATCCTTGTAGGAACTGCAGGTCCTAGCCATAGAAACCATAATAATGATTTATATGGCTAAGTAATGAGCTTATGCAACATAACACACAATCAATTACTTACTATATTATTATTTACTATTACTCCACTAGGTCTGAAATATTGTACGTTTTAATCCCCTGGTATACACTACAAACATGATGATCTAGATTAGAACATGATGCATTGCTGTGTCTCTGTCATAATTAAATAATTAAACAATTTTGGAGAAAGTGGCTGTACGTGTGTGTTTTTTTGTTATTTTTTTGTTTACAGTCTTCCTTTAACAGACATTAATATAAGGCAATACTGCAAAAACAGTGTACTGTCAAGCTGTTATTGTTTGCGGTAAGTCGGGACATAAAGGGTATGTTCCACCAGGTACGCTTGCTGCTCAAAGACAAGCCAGTGATGCGGTTCCTTTGGAGCAGTGGTCGCCAACCCGTCGATCGCGATCGACTGGTAGATCTTTATCACTGTCCCAGTAGATCCCGAAAAAAACAGTAAAATAAGTACAAAAATTAATTACATTTCTGGGGTTATATTAACGTATCACTGAAGGGAACTGTCTTAAGAAAAGTTTCGATGGCAATGGCATTTTCTTCTCTGTATAAAGCGCAACTCTGCTTTGTTTACAGCGGTAAACAAGGAAACGCTATATTGCGGTTGGTTCATACGCATTGTTACCAAGTCCGCGGTTTTCCCGCGGAATTGGTCTACTTTAACACTGTTGCCGCGGGTTGTTGTTCATGTCCGCGGGTTGTAGCGACCCCAATAACGTGATATTTAGTCCCTGGAATGTGAATTTTACTGGAAGATCCCCGCCTCAAAATTTGCTTAAAAATCAGTATCAGAATTTAAAAAAAAGAAAGAAAAGAAAATCTGAATTCTGAATCAGCTATGACCGGCGCATGACTAATTAAAATACTAAGTAAAAGGCCTCAAATTTGAAGCACAATCTGGGATGTCTTTTTCTATCAATTCTTCAATAGGTAGATCTTGTCTTTCATAAAGACCGAGGTCAGGGATCTTGGGCCTAAAAAGGTTGGTGACCATTGCTTTGGAGGAACATGTGCAGAGACCAGGAGCCTGAGATATATGAATGGCAGGTGCTTCCGTTCGGAACTACATGCAGCCCGTGTTGCGCCATCTATGCCCTCCAGCACAACGCCCAAGAAAACCAGGATAACCAGGTCAGTCTGGTTAACATAGTTGAGAATTCCTTCTATGTTGATAAATGCCTGCACAGCACTTCGAACTCTGATGAAGCTAAGGAGGTAGTTGATGGACTTCGTCAACTGTTGTCTGAGGGAGGCTTTGACATAAGACAGCGGGCCTGTAATGTACCCTCTGTCATCGAACATCTTCCCGCAGAAGCCCGGTCTGCTAACAGTGAACTGTGGTTGACCAAAGCCAGTACAGACCTACAAGAACCCACTCTAGGCCTACGGTGGGATTGTCTCAGTGACACCCTGGGCTATAATTTGCGCTCAACCGAACCCCTAGAGCCTACCATGAGAAACGTGTACAAAACATTGGCCAGCCAGTATGACCCGCTGGGGTATATGATCCCGTTTACCACCTGGGCCAAGGTTCTCATCCAAGACCTCTGGAAGCAGAATTTGGGCTGGGACGATCCGATAACACCTCTACAGCTAAGAGAGAAGTGGCTAACATGGATAAGAAAGATTCCTAATCTCCTACAGCTGCAATTTCCTCGACCTTATGCACCAGCCTGTGCTGATTACCCCAGTGCCATCCGAGAACTTCGCATCTTTTGCGACGCATCAGAAAGAGCATACGGCTCAGTGGCCTATTTGCGCACTACTCATGATCAAGGCCACGTCCACATCGCCTTCGTTTTGGCCAGTTCCAGAGTGGCTCCCAGAAAATGCCTCTCCATGCCTCGTTTGGAATTGAGTGCAGCCCTGACCGGCGCTCAGTTAGCCAAAGTGGTCCAGACTGAGTTGTCTTTTAACATTCATACAGTCACCTTCTGGTCCGACTCAACAACTGTGCTGAACTGGCTGACATCTGAGTCCTGTCGCTACAAGACATTTGTAGGGACACGTGTAGCAGAAATCCAGACCCTCACAGACAAGGCCGAATGGCGGTACATTGATTCAGCTCACAACCCTGCTGACCACATCACAAGAGGTCTGATACTGACCCAGCTAGCAAGTCCCCACTAGTGGAGTTCAGGACCAGACTTTCTCCTTCAACCTTCTGACCAGTGGCCATCTCCGAGGGTGTTTTGGGGCCTGGAAAAGTTTTGACATGCCCTGACATTTGTGCTTTTTTCAGTTGCTTACAAACATTTGAATGTCTAAAGTTTAATAACACTGTAATCAGCACAAACTGGGCTACAATAATATGTGAGCAGCATGTATTTACGTGATTGTGTTTTTAAGAAAACAACATTTATACGTGCTTAGTGAAAAACTACAATTTTAAAGTCACTGAAACTAAACGTCTCGAATGGCCGCTGCACGTCCTGTGAACGTCCCTTTGAACGTCCAAAGGACGTCTTCGCGAACGTCCGCTCGACGTCAAGGGGGCCCTACACGCTGACGTCCGGGGGACGTTCGCAGAGGCCATTTAGGGGACGTCCTGGGGACCTTTTTTTGTTAGCTGGGTATATCCTCCACTGAATATCACGCAGGCGCGTTCTTCTGAGGGAAATCCAAAGCTTATTTCTCTCAGCTCGTCTTCTTCCAGAAGCGAAGTAGCCGAGATGAACTTTGAGGAAACGTCGCTGCTGTGTTTGCTGTGATGTGGGCGTTTACATGCGCGTGTTTCACGTGGACTATTGTAATAACAAAAGCGCGATCGGCGCGTGGGCGTGGTCACATTAGCGATAATGAAGGCGACGGCCAAGACTTGACATCGCGTTGGTTTCATACTGATTACTTTGTCACATAATATTTGTTTTCGTCATGACTTACTTCGTTTAAAAGTAGACATGTTAAGCTTTCTATAGATATGTCTCTCATGTGTGTGTGTCAAATATTCGCTGAGTTTCAGTTCATTTTAGTGACGCGTTTCAAACAGATATGCGCGGAGAATGAGACGGCTAAAAGCACACCCTGT